GCCGGCGCGACGCAGGAGCAGAACGCCGGCAGCACCTCCGCGCCGGGCGTCCCCGTCGCGTTGCCGTCGCCGCGGCACGCGTCGCACCGGACCGGTGCGAAGACGTCGCCCCGGAACGCGACGGTGGGCCACTCCGAGAAGAACGCCGCGGCGCACATCGCCGGCCGGCACGGCGCGAGGGGCGGGCCCGACGCCTCCTCGCCGCACCGTACCACGAGTCCCCGGAGTTCGACGTCGTCGAGGAGCGTGCCGTCGCAGAGGACGAGGGCCAGGAGCACCGCCGGTGACCACCAAAGCTTTTTCTCCATGGGCGGCCGACGTGAGGAACGCTCGTAGCCGGAGAGATCGCGGCTTCCGTGCCCCCCAAGGCTGTGTGTGTGATCTTCCGCTTTTAGGTCCGTAGCGTCGCCGCCTTCCCCGACAGCGGGCGAGTCGACCTGAGTCGTCTCCGGCTCGTGGGACTTCACGGTCAAGGTGCGGGGCTGCTGAGGTACGCTCGAGTTATGCTGGCTAGACGCGGCGCATGGGCTAGTCGTGGATCGAACGCTCGCCGGGCGACCCCGTCACGGTGGGGCGGGTGTGGAGCGGCATCATCGTTCATGTTGAACTTCAGCGGCGTTGGTTAGTAAAGCCCGTCGTTGTAGGAAACCTCAATCCCGACGAGGTTGTTGTTGTAACGACCTGGCGGTGCCGGGCATGGCAGCCCCTCGACGGGCAGCCCCCGGCGGGGACTTCGCGGACTGGTCGCCGGCGAGCGTCTTCGGCGACACGCAAGCGGCGCGGCCCGCGCCCATGGCCAAGCCCCGGCGCGCCGCGAAGAGCGTCAAAGCCCAGGACGAGGCCCTCGAGGCGGCGTGGAAGGGCCGGAGCAGCGACCGCGGCGAGGGCCTCATGTCGGCCCTGTCGGCCATCAACACCGTGCTCGAGGCCGGCGTCGACGAGCCGCGGGAGGAGGCCGGCGCGTCGTCCTGGCAGAACCTGCGAAGTAGGAAGCCCGAGCAGGACCCGCGGCGGCGGCGGTCGACGAACGCGCGGCGCCGCGCGCCCCCGGCGCCGCCGCCGCCGAAGCGGCGGTCGACGAACCCGGCGGCGCCGCGGCGGCGGAGCAGCGCCCAGGTCGCCGCCGGGCTCATGGCGGCGAAGCGCGCGCCCCGGGGCACGGAGGCCTGGGCCGCGCGCGTCGTGCAACTGCGGTGGCGCGTCTACAGTTTAGCGAAGCGAGAAGCAAGGGCAAAAAACCGGGCGGCGAAGATGCAGGCCATGCTGCGGGCCATG